GTTATCCTTAGCCGATATTTCGTAAGCGATTTTTAATTTTAAAAAATCAGTGGTTTACCCCTCGGTTTTTAGTGTTTTATGTAAATATTATTTAAACTTTTTTACTGTTTAACATTTAGTACAATGTTACAGTGATTGATTATCACACTATGTACACAAGGAGTACAAACTTTTTATGTGGATGTAATGTCCCTTTGTACTAACAAGAATGCAGCCTGCTTCATAGTTGAGACATGCCCTACTTCTCTTTTAGCGCCCTCTTATTTTGGGAAGCCATTTGTTTACATAAAGTTCATACTTCTTGTGTAGGCTCCCTGAATAATTGTCTAGGCCGAAATCGGGTAAAGTTTTTTACCTCCTAGTCTGTAAAAAAGGCAATAATTCGATAACTTAACCTCATTTCCAAATAATTAATTTAATAATTATAATTATTATTATTATTTAATAATTATAATTATTATTATAAATGTACGTTTTTTGTATCCTTTAACAAATAAAATTGTGCATTAAAGATAAAAATGTTGTATGCAATTTGGTATTTACTTAACTTCTTTATGGACACCTGAGCTTACTTCCGGTTACCATTACATAGTCTTGTTATTTTGACAGCAAAAGCAAACGTAGTCAATATTCAATATTCATTCTTTGGTCAATATTGTATCTTTGCTATTTACAGATTTGTACATGGATAACAAAATTTGGACTTTTAAAATTCCGTGTCCGCACATAGAAATCGTGTTATTTTTTTACCCGAATAAAATATTTTAAAATAATTGTATACAATCTATAGATACATACATTTAAAAAAATATTTTGTTCATGGACAGAAGTTGTTAAATAATTAAATAAATAGGTAATTATAATTATTTTAATTTAGAAATTATAATTTAAAAAAATTTTGACAAGATTGTACCGAGTTGGTACATTCATATATTATTAGATTTGTCAATTATGTATAACCATAGAGAAAGTAAAAGTTTGTAACCATGAATATTAAGCATAAAACGTCATCTGTCTTAAAAACGTGACAAATATATCTTTTTAAAAGTTAAAATTAAGATATGAATGTTAAAGACAATTGTGCAATTTGTCGGGTACAAATGCTAAGAAGTCCTGTACTTAGGGTGCCTTCAGAAAATGCAGAAAACAATTTATTGTCAGTTAGTATTTTTTTGTAATATTCTAGGAAATCAATTTCTTGTCAATTTATTCCATAATGTTTTTTCCATTGATTGAGGTGTAACTTTACTCAACGATTTGTTGTTTTAAATAAATTTTTATATTCTGTTTTAAATATATTTTTTACTTATTTTAACTTCAAACAACTTTTTCCGTGCTGTCTATAGTAATATAGATGTATCGATAGCACAAAACTATCATATCGAAAATATCGATGGTCGAATTTTTGACTATGGCACACCTCTAGCTGATACACCTCAATGTGAAACTGCCACTGTTGTGTAGATATATATATATATATATATATATATATTTACACAACAGTGACATATGGTGACTGAGATTCTTTGCAGATGTTAAAAACCTGTAATTTGGAAGTAGCCGCTACTGAAACAAACTCTACAATGGATGTGGCCGCTTTTGCAAAATATTCCAAAATTTGAACGTACTTTTTAGCGGGATCTAACCGCACATCTTATAATATGGTTTTCTACTGTTAGATTAATTTTAATAAAATATGGATGTAGCCACTATTGCAAGTAGACGCCTCATGTGTTAGTACTCACGGTTTTTGACAATTTGCTCAAAAACACCTAATATGGGTAAGCCGAGTTTTGGAATGCACCTCCACATTTATAACTATGTAATATATAATGGGTAATATTAATATGTATGTAGGAAATACATTTTTTATATAATAATAATAATAATAATAATAATAATAATAATAATAATAATAACAATATTACTTAATAATTTTCGTTTATATAAATTTATATTGTAGGTACACACTAACCATGCTATCAATTAAAAAGCTTCCAAAATATATATTTTCACTATTCTGAAATACATTTGATGCTTTCTGAAATACATTTAAAGCATTCCGAAATACATTTGATTATTCTGAAATACATTTGACACTTTCTGAAATGCATTTAAAGCTTTCTAAAATACATTTTACTATTTTGAAATTCATTTGATGCTTTCTAAAATACATTTGACTATTTCGAACTACATTTAACGCATTCCGAAATACATTTGACTATTATGAAATACATTGGGCGCTTTCTGAAATATATTTGACGTTTTCTGAAATACATTTGACGCTTTCTGAAATACAATTGGAAAAGGTGTAGAGCAAAATAACTAATGATTAATTAATTTAAATCTGAATCGTTATACGTTTAGTGGACTTTACAACATACTTTGGGCTACTAAAATTAAAAACTAACCTTGGAGAATACACAAACTCTTCTAACAATTATTTAAACAAAACTTTACAATTAATTTCCTTTTAGCAAAATGCATTTGATACCATTTTCAAAAACTTTCTGTCTGTTTTCTTGCTTCCCTTTATTTGCTTTGTGTACCAGGACCCTCGTTTCTTGCATCATCTGGACACCAGATTTTTAGGCAACCTTCGAAAAACTTTTAATTTCTTTACCTAAGTATACAAATTATACTTTAAAATAAATTTATAAAACGTATTAAAGTACTGAACCATTACTGTATCTAATTTTTGTTTATAAGTTTTTGTATTTCTTTAAATTGTCAATTTCGTTTAAGTTTATTAAATGCATATTGGAAAGATTTAAAGCTATTTCAATTTCCTTGTTCCTTGTACACAGAAAAAAAGGAATGGTTAATTTAACTATATTAATTTAGTTGACCCATATTTATTTCCGTGGGAAGGTTAATATAAACAAATATTAGTTTAACGGTACTAAACCAGATAGTCATTTTATTTTTTTAAATTGGTTAAATTAACCCAGAAAACTTTAGTGAAACCAACCCGCTGTATGGTTCAGTTTACTAAATATGTTGTTTGTAAAATAAGAGTCACTTCAACCTTAAGCACTCTGTTAAAATGATTAAAACAATTGCCGTGCATTCTTGGTTGCATAGTATGTACCGATCGCGGCAAAGGCGGTGTGGATCGCGTGATGTTCTTAAATCTCGCCTCTGTTGACTTACATGAAGAGTATATACTGCCGTCCTAAGCGCAGAAGCGGTAACTGCAAATTTAAAGGAAATTGACATTTTCCGTAATATGAACCTAGGGTTAAAAATCTCTACTTTAATAAGGTATTAAATCGGTATTTTGTCAGTAAATGATTAAAATATCAAGTTATTTTTAGCGGTGTCTGTTACCAAACTGAGTTGGCAGAGCTATTAACATAAAAGTACCAATATCTCATGACAGCCATTATGTTAATTACCGCTTCTGCGCTTAGTACGGCAGTATAAGGTGAGGTAGTTCTTTGCTTTGGTGTGACACTACAAGTTGTTCGATACTAAAGAGACCTTGAATAGGTGGAAACAGCTGTCAATACTTGGAGTATTATATTAAGTTGGTGGAACGCACTAAAAACATTATCTCTTGCGAGGTGAAGGTTTAATTATCTGGAATAATACCTCTGGTATTATATAGTCCATACTCCAAACATTTCAAGATCTTATTTTTATTGTTAGGTATATAAATGCGCCAAACGATATGGTTGGACCAAGCCGTTAACCTAGTTAGGGTAACAAATTATATTTAGTCAATTCAACCAAATGTATTTAGTACATTGGACTGGTAGGTAAAGGTCACTTTAACTATATAAATGTTTGTTTCAACCAAATTTATAGTTGTAAAATATAACCAAATACAGTTGTTAAAATAACTAAATGTTTGGTTGGCTCTATTGAAACAACATATTTAGTTAAATGAAACAAATAATAGTTGGGCTAACTAAACCTTTTTTTCTGTGTACTGGATGATGTTTTTGGTTGTTTTTTGTATTTTTTTAAGATGTTCGTAAAATTTTGTATGGTGAAATTTATTTTATATTTCGATGTTAAAATGTTTTATTTGTTCACTAATAATATTCTGATAATACCCAATTTGCGGTGTGTCGTACCTAGGCTGGTTTATGGCTGCTGTGGTCTATCATTTTTCCTTATTCCGGGTTGAAATTTAAGTAATTTCTTTGCCCAAAGTTTGTTTCTCCCTTCTTGACTGGGGTTTTTGATTTTTCTTTTTAAATATAAATAACATTAAAGTAGAGTGTATACTGGACTTGACTAAAATTTTGATATCACAGAAGTTTCATATTAATTATCATAGTTCATATCACAGTTGTGTCAATAAAGTGCTTCGGTCTTCTTGGTATATCTCCGAAATTTGGTGTGTACTCGATAGCTGCCTTGGCTAAGGGATAAGGGTGGTTTTCCATCGCTGTTAGTGTTCTGTTTACGACAGGATTTATTCCTTCATACTGCGCAGTCTTAGGTCGGTAGCGATGTCGGCGTTTCTGACAAACCAGGGTGCCTTCGTCATTCTGCGGGCCGCAATGTTTTGGACCGTCTGCATTCTTTTGAGGAGCGTGGGAGTTGCGTTACACCATGTAGCTGCTCCATATGTCAGGGTAGGCAGTATGACTGTCTTGTATAGTGTTAGTTTCACTCTGAGGTTGACTGACGCAGAGTTCATGATTGGGCCTAGCTGTCGAAGCGCCGCTCTTGTTTAGACTTCCTTGTTCTAAATGATCTATTTTCCAGGTAGGATCTTACGAGTTTTACCATCCAGGTTGGTATTCCCATTTTCATCATCTTGTATAAAAGGCCATAGTGCCAGACACGGTCAAAGGCCTTCTCCACGTCCATTAGCACAATGCCCGCAGAGTCCTTGTCTCAGGCTTTGTTGTTCGGTGGAATGCCCTGATCGGAAGCCGAATCGTTCTTGTGGTAGTTTTTTTCGAGTTTACAGTTCTACCTTAAGTTGAGAGTGTATGACTTTTTCGGTAATTTTTGCCAACACTGGGAGCAGACTGATAGGGCGATAACTCTGCGGCTGGTCTGCTGGCTTATTTGGTTTCTTCACCATGATTATTTCAGCTGTTTTCCATTACGATGGGAAGTGGAAGAAGTTTAAGTACTCTACCAAGGGACCTCTTCGGTTGATTCTCAAGATACAGAAAAATACCTACCTCGGGTTTCTTTTATTCGGTGGAGGAAATAGGGTTTATGAGAATCAGTCAGGTTTGATGGTTCAATTTAAAATGCAAAAATAACTTAAACTGGTTTATTTAACAAGGTAAAAGTATCTACCATATCGTAAAATAATTATATATACAGTATTTACAAAAGTATAGTAGACTTCGAACACAATTATTACTTCATAGTCTTCGATCAGGTCAGGCAGGGTTTTCTGTCCTACAGAGAGACAGAGCAGGCTTTCCATTGGGCTCTAGAGGAGAAATACAGGATTTACAGTGGTATGAACTCTGTTATTAAAGTCTAATACAATACGGCCTGGCATATAAGAAACAGGTAAACTTACTTATAATATCTCACTGAGATTTCTCTATGGGTTAGTCTTGGTTTTCAGGCTCACAATTGATAACACCATTTGGAATTGAGCCACCTGACGATTGAAAAATGCAGCGGTTTTATAGCCGACATTCTTGTTGAAAAACAGTTGGGTCCGTGTGAACTGACATCCGTCACACGAACCGGGTGCAAAAAGTGTTGACAACTGACCAAAGCGCCATCTGTTAGGTTTCACTTGAACTGCAAGTTTCTGGTATTCCAACTCTGTCCTTGACGTTAGGTTGTTTGGAAAATCATCTCATAGATATCGTAATGTGCATCGTTACAGCGGTATTTATTTTCCATTTTCGTTGTATGTTTGTATTACGGTATCAAGGCATAGTAATTATTGCCAGGGGTAGGATAAGTAAATCAGCACAGGTGACTTAGCCGGAGACCATAAAGGTCGAAAGACTGCAGATCTTTCACTCTAAATTCAGCGAGTCCAACAGTCATCGTTATATGGACGTTGTGCTCTGATTTTTTCCTATTCGACCCTTATACAATACCTATTAATAGGAAACTATTCTTATCAACAAAAAAATTCTCTTAGGGAGGCGTTGGGTATGACTACCCTTGTAATTTTTTTAAATTAATTTGTATGCGATTATTTATATTAAAAAATCGATGATTTATTCCTACAACTTTTATAAACATTATTGAAAGAAAATCAATCGTAATTAATTTTTGGTTTTTAAATAAAACATCGTGTGTAAGATTTTAATGTAATTTTTATTTTGGCATGAAGTAACATACATACAAACATGTATGGTAACCAGACTGGAATATAAACAGATCTTCTGCCAGTCTTTAAGCAGTACCTACTGTTCAACGTTGTGTGTAAGATTTACTAAACATATGCTGGTAAATAAATAGTAACTTTGTTTTTATTAAAAAGGGATTTGTGCAAAAAATAATAATACAGTTTAATTTAAAAATTTCATAATATATATGTATCCATTTGAAACTAAGTTAAACTTTTATTTGATATCCTACTAAATATATTATCAGCAAATTCACTTAGTAATAAATACTCAATTTGAATATGTTTAGAAGACTCCTGAGTTAATTCATCATCTTCTATAAATTCTATAATTTTTTTTTGATATTTGTTAAGAAGCTCTTTGCGATCTTTCTCTGAAATTTTCTTTAAAATTTCCACTAGTGGTCCTACATATTTGCCAACCGCAAATGGAGATACAGATTCTGTGAGTACTAAATACATACCAGAACTTTTCCAACTGACGTTTTCCCCCATTAATATTTGGGTTTCAGTAGGAGGACAGCGTCCCAAAAGGTATAATATAAATGATGTACATGGCCATCCCCAAAAACCCTTTTTGGTATTAATAGATTCAGCAAAATACAGTGGAGCACGGTGATGATTACAGGAAAAAAATCCTAAAATATTTAAATCTTAAAATCATTTTAGTTTTAAATTTTATTAAAGTAAACAATTAACATTATTAAATATTAATATTATTCCATGGCGTTCCACTTTTTTCTTTGGAGGTACTTAAAGTCGGGTAATGGTAATAGCTTTACCAACATATTTTATTTAATATTTATTTTAAAATTATATTCAGTGTTTGGCATATGTTGCATTTTTACCTTAAATTTGTGCCGGCTCTTTATGTAGTTTATTATGCTATTAATTTATAATTCTAATTTAGTGGGTCGTTACAGAAATAGGTACCTACTAAATAAACAAGTTTCATTTTTAGGGTTGTATTTGAAGGGGAATGTCTAATTTTTGCAAGGAAGTTAATTTAACTCTTAAATAAACAAATTTATTATTTAAATATAAAATTAGTTTGTATAAGTGTTGGTTAATAGGTATATCTTTATATTATTTGTACTATTATTAATGAGTGGTTAATTATTTAATTTTTAAGTAAAACTATATTTTATTATTTATTTTATTTTGTTCTTTGTGAGAAAAAAACAATATGATTTTTGTTTGTAGTAGATTGATCAAAACAAACAAAAACTATATTTTATTATTTATTTCATTTTAATCTTTGTGAGAGAAGGAACAATATGAATCTTGATTGTAGTGGAACAACCTTTTACTTGCATATATTTTTATGATAATTTATTTACATATTTATTTTTTAGGATTTAGCAGATAACTTTAACAAATTATATTGAAATGCGAAGTATTATTTTATTAATTTCTGCACAAAAAATATTTATTACAATTTTCTTTCTATTGTTTAAGGTCTTGATAAGGTGGCCAATAATTATAATTATCAACTACCCATTTCTATAAGGAATGTTAGGTAGGGCTATTGATGAAAAGTTTTCTTGCATTTTCCTATTATTATCTATTGTTATTGATAAACAATTTATTTTGCTATATTTGATTTGGCCTAACATATTTTGTTTCTTTATTATACCTGCTTTAACTGTATACCAATTTTATTGCATTACTATTGTCCCACGCTATACCATTTGTTATTTATATTTTTTTCCTATTCCTACTGCATATTATTTATATTATTTATTTTCCCCCCGTATATAATGATAGGTAATTAATATAACCGCCTCACCTAACAACGGGAATTCCCTCAATATTCACGTTGTTAGGCATTAGTGAGTTTGTTTTCAATATTTACTCTGATTTGGACCAATTGGATTTTAAATTTGGAAAAAATGAGGTTAACAGATTTTTTTTATATACGAGGGGTGACTATAATAATCTTTAAAATTGGCAGAAACTGAGGTGTTAATAAATGTTGTTCCTGATGAAAATTACTTAATTGGAGTGGAAAATGCATAGTATTACACCCGAGATAACGCGTATTATTATTATATTTTTAATAAATGTATGTCATGGGTGCCGTCTTATTCATTTATTCGGGATTTTGTCGTAAAATCAGACATTAATGATTGGGAAGAGTTGGAGAAGAAGTGTTGGCTAAAGGCAGACCAAAGACTTTACTTATTTAGTAATATTTAGTTATATGAAGTTGTCCGTTAATTTTTTGTTTTTATAAAAATAAATGTTTAAATTAAAGAATAAGAGTTTTATTTTATTATTAAAGCCCAATGTAATATATTGAAAAATAAATATTCATTGATTAACCATATCAAATACAGATGACAACCATTTTGCATACAATACTGAATATACATTGTATATACACCATGTCCAGCGGGGTGGGACATTTATATATCCAATGATAATTAAGGAATATCCAGGATATCCTGGATATTATGAACGGATAGAGAATATACATTGGATGTAATAATAATAATAATAATAAATTTATTACCTGTTAACATACGTAAAGGTACGTAGAAATATAGACAGGTAAAATTTGGGTAAAAAATTAAGAGTACCTACATAATACAAGTTACAATAACATTATATCACAGTCATATCACAGTTTAGGAATTCATCAAATTAATAGAAATACTTTGAAATTAAAAATGATTTAATGAGTTAAGTTTTATTTTTTTATTGTTTCAGGTAATTTGTTATAATATTTAGGAGCTAGAAATTTCAATATCTTTTGCGATTTTGACGATGACTTTCCCGGAAGGGTAAGTATGTTCAGTTTCAAAAATTTAGACCTGCAGTCTTCAGTGTACCCCAGTCCACCAACAACACGTATTGCCTAAGGCAATTTGCATTGCGTTGTAAACCAAACACTCTTCCCCACTCTGCCGCCTGGCCCCAAACCGAAATTGAGTTTGAAATCAGGCTGTGGCAGAGAGAGAAATAGGCCGCCTTAAGTGTTTGCAGGGAAACCGATCTTGCCAGGTTTCTTAGGAGGTAGATGTAAATGTTCTTTGTGGGTATATTTATCACTACTATTTATTATGTTGTCTGTGACCTGAGTTATACTATACTTTATGTTACACATGTTTTTTAATTGTTGCTGTGCATTGATAATGGTAATTTGTATTTGCTTTTCTACAACGTCCGATCCTAATATTTATAATATTATTTTATTTATTTATTATTTCAATTACAAATCCAACAGGCTGGTGCCCAATTACAGGATAGGTGAGAATGTAAATATATAAAAAAGAGAAAACACAAAAACAAAAAACACAGAAATAAAAAGTATAAGTTTTAAAAACAAACAAAATATAAGATATGAATACTTAATAATAATATTGGGTAGAATTCTTAATAAACTATTATAACTGCAATGAAAAAAATTTAAACTCATACCAACTTTGTTTCCACAATTAAAACAAAGGTGACATAATAAACATATTAGTACTGGATTTTGGCAGATAAAATAGATCGCAGTTTCTAGTGGCTTTTTGTGGTACTCTGAATGGAATCTTAGATAAAAAGGCTGAACTATCAATTTTGTTATTTAACAACTTATATAAAAATATAACAACTATATTAATTCTTCTTTTTTTTAATTCGATAAAGTCATATGCATTAAGTAAATCCGAATAATGTGCTAAATAATCAAATTCAGAAGTCTCTTTGTATTTAAGGTAACGTAAAAATTTCTTCTGGACTCTTTCAATAAGTTCGACTTTATTACTATAAAAAGGTGACCATACTAAAGCACAATATTCAAGTTTAGATAATATAAATGAGTTAAATAACTTTTTAATTGCTGTAAGATCCACAATATCACGAGTGTTACGAACGATAAAGCCAAGAGTTTTCAGACAAGCGTTAACCATATGGATTATATGTGAATCAAAGGAAAGCTCAGAGTCACATATAACGCCAAGATCTTTAAATTTATCTACCCTTTTTAAATGTATGTTATTAATAGAATAATTAAAGACAATTGGTGTCACTTTTTTTGTAATAGTTAGAACATTGCATTTGGAAATATTAAAATTTAATTTATTTAAATCACACCAATTTAATATTAAATATAAGTCCCTTTGCAATTTAATGCAATCGTGCTCGCAATTAATATAAATGTATATTTTCAAGTCATCAGCATACATAAAATTTTTTGATTTTATTATTAATGGCAAGTTGTTAATAACTATATAAAAGAAAAAGTAATGGGCCCAGATTTGAACCTGAGGACTGAGAAAAATCACAAGATGTGAAGTTTATTGACTTTTACAAAAAACTTTCTATCCATTAAATAAGATTGAATTAAATTAATTAGCGACAAATTTGTATCGTGCAATTTGTCAATTAATAGCTGATGGTCAATTTTATCAAAAGCTTTACTCATATCAGTATATATAATATCTAGTTGACTACTGTTGTGAATGGCTTCCTTTCCGTCTTGCACCAAATTGATTAAATTTGTGGCTGTTGATCGGCCTGACATAAATCCATGCTGATTTGGCGAAATTGTAGACCTTACAGCATTAAAAACATAATTATAAATAATTATTTCGAAAAGTTTTGAGAAAGAATTAAAAATTGAAACTGGCCTATAATTACTGAGATCACTCTTATCACCACTCTTAAATACAGGAAAAACCCTGCTGACTTTCCACAAATTCGGATATGATCCTTGACTCAATGATAAGTTAAAGACATACCTCAATGGTTCAATTAAATCTATGCAACCCTTTACCATATATGACGAAATATCATCAGAACCCACAGACTTACTTGATTTAAGTTTTTATGGCATTTTTTATATCGCTATTATTTATAATAATATTACTGCCTTTGGTATTGGGATAGTCAATTAAATTTGAAGGTTGAAAAACTGAATAAAAATAAGTTGCAAATCCAGGCGATATTGCTTCGCCTCCATTATATGAGTTATTTTCGAAAGACATAACATTTGGTATAATATTTGCCTTTTTTTTTTTGAGTTAATATTTTTTCCAAAAGTTATTAGGATCTTCGGTAATGGTCTGTTGTATATTAAGAATGTAGTTATCATATGCATTTTTTATCAGAATTTTAGCTTTAGATCTAAAAAAATGATATCGTTCTTAATGTAATATATCATTATTTTGCTTATATAATTTAAAATGTTTTTCTTTTAGTTTTATATATTGCTTGGTTCCTTCGATATCCATATTGGAAATTTTGAGTTATAAATACGTTTCTTAGGAACACATAAATCAAGAATGTCATATATTTTTTTATAGAATACCTAACTCAACAGCAGTATTTATATAATTTATAAGGTATAAGAATATCAAATCCGTATCTCTTAATAAATTATACATGAGAGTAAAATTAGCTTTACTATAATTATATTTAACACCGGGCTGTGTTTGGCACTTTTTAACTTTACCGGATAGGTATATTTCAATTTTCAATGACGGATGGAAACAACATTTGTTTACAATTAACTCCGTATTTGACAGTACTAAATCCAAAATGCGATTGTTTATATTTTTTTTATATTATTTGTTTGTTCTAAGTTAAAGTTGTCATAATCAAAGGATATTTTAATAGAAGGCTAGAAAAAGTTTTACCTAGTTACGAA